TTACAGACTGTAACAATGGATAATGCAGAGGAGTATGTGGATCTCATGTTTGACTTCTGTATGCATACTGGTATACAGAAACAGATGGAGGCATTCAGAGGTAATTTTAATTATGGCAGAATATATATTTAAGTGGACTTCCTGATGTTCAGGGTGTCCTGGTTTGAATTAGTGATGTAGAATGGCTTTCAAAAACAAACACTTGAGGATGTAGCAGGTAAATAAGAGATTTGTTTCATAACACTTTTGCATTAGGTATACCGTTACAAACCCTGGAGAGATTCAGTTTTGTTAATTTAGAAAATGTTGGTAGATGTTTACTTAATTGAAGTACAATTGAAGTGCAGATGTTATTTCGTTAAACATTCTTTTGGTGTGTGTTCATAACAATATCTTGTATATATTAAAGATGGCTTCAACAGAGTCTTCCCAATGGAGAAGCTGAGTTCTTTCAGCCATGAAGAAGTTCAGATGATTCTTTGTGGAAATCAGTCACCTTCCTGGGCAGCAGAGGATATCATCAATTATACAGAACCTAAACTGGGATATACACGGGACAGGTACTTCAGTTCAAAGTGATTTAAAAATCACTTAGATGTATGGTTGACGAAACACCTAGGATGTTCCTTAGGTAAAGATGCAAAATGGGAATTGACAGCGATTGAAGAACAACTAATTGCCTTAACATATATGGAATATATGTTATAGAATTGGAATTGTGTTACAACAGACAGATTAGAAGGCACTTGGTGTTTTCATGATGAGAATAAATAACAAAGAAAATATTTGTGTCAAACTAGTGGAAGTATAAGAGCAGCTTACTTATATATGCTATTAAAATGCATCACTTGAGAATTTTTACTTCTGTCTGTGTTGTTGGTGGCTATGACTTCAGTTGGCTACAGTTGATATTTGTCATTTATTTCTTATTTCTTCTTCAAGTATAGTTGAAACAAAATGTACTGTGCAGTCAAAATATACACTGCTGATTGGCTACTGGGAGGTGGTCTTAATGGTTTGTTTTTGGCTACTCATCTTTTTTAGTAGCTGTAACATAGAAATTAGGTGTGAAACTATGTTAGTATAAGCATTCTGTGAAGGATGCTAACCAGCCTGAGATGCTGAGTGCAGCCTGCCCTGCATAAAAGATACAGCTGAAATTGTGGTGTCTGATACCTGCGGGCATGTTGCAGAAAGTAATACTTTCTTCATACATGCCCTCTGGTCCGTGTTTTTTGGGCAGATACAGATGGAAGTGGTGGTATCCAGAGAATTCTCTGAAGATCTGTTGTGGTCTGTTACATTTTTTTCATATTTTGTTTTGCGTGAAGTTTTCAGCAAGTTAGAAACAAACTCATATATGAACATGAAAGGTTTTACGCTTAGTCAGATTCTTCAGAGAATAGCTTTGAATTGTTTTCTTCTGTAGGAACAGCTAGAGAAGATGGCCAAATAACGCTCCAGGATAAGTAAGGAGAATTTGTTATTAATCTACCTGCAATTTTCCTTGTAGTATTCAGCAAGAAGAGTAAAAAAGTGTTTTTATGATTTATGATGTTTTATTCTTAACTGACTACTGAACAGAAACTGGGATCTTACAGTGATTACTTAGGCACTGCTAAAGATGCTGATATACATGTCTGAAGAAAAATAGGGGAGGGTAGCAGAACATCTGTCACAGAATGTTATCATAACTGATCATTTCAATTTATTTTAAGCCCTGGATTCCTTCGATTTGTGAGAGTTCTGTGTGGTATGTCTTCAGATGAAAGAAAGGCTTTCCTCCAGTTCACCACTGGTTGCTCAACACTCCCACCAGGAGGACTGGCAAACCTACATCCCCGACTGACTGTTGTACGCAAGGTGTGGTTTCTTCAAGTTACCCTTCCAAATCAGCTAATTTGGCGTTTGCATGTAGGCCTTGCTGCATTAACAAAAATCATTGGGTTTTTTTGTTTGTTTAGTTGTTTTTTTAAATCTTCTTCCTTTTCTAATCCATGTCGCAATGCCAAGCTTTCAGTACTGGGTTTCAGGTCCATTCTCTGATATCTCGTTTGCTTAGAAAGGATTTAATGTACATACAAAGTAGATACATTTTTAGGTCTGTAACTTTCCAGATGCCATTGTTTTTTGGCATCCTTATGTTACATAAGCACATGAAGTGAACAACTGCAGCAGCAAATGTTCTTTGTTTTCCTCAGGTTGATGCTACAGATGCCAGTTACCCATCTGTGAATACGTGTGTGCATTACCTGAAGTTGCCTGAGTATTCTTCTGAGGAGATTATGAGAGAGCGTCTCCTAGCTGCTACAATGGAGAAAGGCTTCCATCTCAACTGAGTTGTTGACTGCAATATTGGACATCAGAAAGTGTTTTTTGATACTAGCAAAGCCTCTTGTGTTTGTGTGCAGAAAAACATGATCTCCACGCTGTGCTCTGACGAGACTTGCCTTTATTCACTCGTGAGGAACATGTGGAATAATTTTGTTAGCTGCTAATGACAGAATAAATCCTTGTAACTACACAGCCAGCAAGAAATTGGCACAGAACACTGTGTGATGCTTCAAGGGCTTGCACAACTGGAAATTAAGGTGGTTCTGTTTGACTGTTCCAAAGAACAGATCATCAGATTTTCAGTGTTCACTGATACAAATTTCTAACAGTGTATTTGTGTAAAGTTTGTCATTTAATACCTTGTACACTACAGTTGCCATCACTGATCCCTGTTTTGCTGGCTTTAAGCTAACTGGTCAGAAACTTGCTTCCTTAAAACTTAGAGTTAATGGGCATCTCCAGCTTTTTTTCTTTTTTAATGGTGCCTGCACTATTGGAGTATTGTAGTGGGTTTTTGCATATAATCATGCACAACCTTTTGTTTTCTTTCAAGTGGGAATATATTTTGATTTCTCAAATCCCCTGCTATGAAGATCAAATCCTTAAGTGTATTTGTGCAGTTCAACAATAAAGCTATTAAAAAAAAAAAAACACAAAAAAACACAACACTGGTTTCTAGTGCAAGGCACACTTAAAGCAAGTTTTACTTTTGGTTGTATTTTCTTTGTATATTATAAACATTTATTTAACTTGTTGCAGTTTGAAGTTTAAAAACAACAAAACACCCAATGTGTAAGCTCAACAGTAATCATTAAAATGTTTGCAACATATACTGTCTCCTCTGAATCCCTTCTTAATTTTACTTACGTTACTAAATCTACGTATGTGTTTTGAACAAGAGGCCATACTTTTGTCATGGTTTAAAAGAAATCCAAGGCAATAGTTAATGTCATCAACTCATCTGTGTACTCAACTCTCAACATTACACAGTGCAACTGGCAGTGATAAGTTTGCATGTGGCAGGGTTTGGTGCTTTTCAGTGGGCCTATGGTCTGAGATTTTAATTCCTTATTACATTGGAATGAAAACTGGTTCCCATGTTGTGGCAGGTTCTGCTTTACTTGAGGTGGAGCGCCTATCTTGGTTTTGTCATGTGGTGAGATGTTTATTGGCAGAAAGCAGCTCATGGCAAGGCAAAGCAAATAAGATGTCATTTAAAGTAATGTGTCTTTTAAACATATTTTAATGCTCACTTTTCAAAAGGAAAAACTTTAGTTCTATCTGTCTGCATGGTATGTTTTGTTCTGTGCCAGCTCTCTTTGGTAATTGTTCTTGCTCCTGAGGAAAGGCTTGCTGAAAGATTCTGCCTCAAATACTGGCCTAAGGATCAGGTATTAGAATTTGGATTTCATGCTGAACCTAGCAAGTTTTCCCCATATAGTTAGTTTTTTATGGATGGATACTTTGTGGGTTTTCTGCTTTCATCACTGTTAAGTATTTTCATTGTCAATTAAAGGAAAGGAAATAGTTCTGTATGTATTTTTAAAATGTATTTAATTGTAGCATTGTCTTGAATTGGGAAGGAATATTTATGTTGGCAACCTGCTGAGATACAGGACTAGGCTGCAGTCTGCTGGCACTGTATGTATAATTTTAGAGATCAACATACTAACCTTAACTGGAAGTTTGTGTGATAGTTTGCAAGAAATGCCTATACTCTGTGTTGTCTTCAGTTTGAGAAGTTTGAATGCCACCTGTTTCTCAGGATGCTGAGGTTTCCTGGCTGGTAGGAAGAGAAGTTGGAAGTTGTAAGCTGTAAACGCTTCTCCACTACACTTCACCAGGCCTTGTTTTCTGTACAATTTAATTCTGCAGCTTACCATTCTGCAGCTGTCAACGTGCTTTCAAACACAGTGCTCTCACAGTACTTTCTGTTGCACCTAGCACTGGCTTGGGCGTCACAAAGAAGGAACCTGATAACTTCGTTCTAGAAAGGTAAATTAAAGTAATTGGTGACTTCAGCGATTTAAGGAATGTAGCATTTGGATGCAAATGGATATTTTTGTATGCCTTGTGATTAGAAGTTACTGTAAGCTACTTCCTACTGCAGACTTGATTTGTTACATAAATGTTTTGAGAGATGTGCATGTTTCTTCTTGATCATCTTCTATAGACTTTAATCATGATGGATGGGAATAATAGGGGAGAAAACAAAACACTTAACAGTGGTGTTCCAAAATGAAAAAGATGCTGTGTGATTTATGAAGCAAATGTGTATTATAAAATATCAAACCTTTTGATTTTACTTATTATAACATTAATAAACTATTTAAGTGTAACTTCTAGTTACAACTTCACACAGCATGCAGGAATCTTACATACATCTACACTTATGTTATTTAAATGTATTTTGTAACCAAAATCAGAGGATCTCTGTGGTCAAGACAACCAGCTTTTTTACTAAGGCTGAATCTAGTTTAAAGATGGTCATAAAAGTTACCGAACTTTTACACACAGTGTACTTACAAATGAAAATAAAAAATCATATTGTTGTTTTAAGAAGTGTCTCTGAAAGTTAGTTTGAAATTGTTTTTCCATATTTTCTGTCTTTCTAGGTCTGGCAGAATGCTACGTGATTCAGAGCAATACCTACACAAAGTCACAAGTAAGTTTCCATTGCTTTATTCTTAGTTTGTTTGAAAGAAAAAACAATTCTTGAGAAGCTTCTTTTTCTAGAAAGGCTTCTGCTGTGTCCTTAGCAAGTCTGAAAATAAAGTTTCCACTTTGTGGTTCTGTGTCTTTTTCAGGGTACAGGAGAAGCAGGAAATATTTTTCAGCTGATTTAAATATTGCACGAGTTGGTCTTGCAAAATGAGAGGATTGCTTGTTGGTATGCTTTAGAGGATTTCACCATCTTTTGTTAAATGCCTCAGTCTGTCTTGCATCTTCCTAGCTCTCCGCCACTTTGTCGAGCACAAACAGCGGCGCAAGAATTCTGCTGGGGTTTGTTTCCACAATGCAGCCATTTAGCACCATTTCATCCAGTATGATGTGCACTCTATCCAAATTGAACATGATCTAGAAACGTTACAGGTTAAGTATATTTTGAACTACATTAAAAAAAATTCAAAGAAAAATCTAAAAAAAGAAAAATTTACAAAGTAGGTATTAAAGTGTGCTAGTTAGTTGTCTATTTGTAAGGAGACAGGTCAGCCAATGCTTTTCATGGGCCAGCACTGGAGATATCTGAAGTTGGTACTAGGGTTAGGGTTACATCTTGCACTATTACAACACAGAATTAAAAGAAAAGTAAGCTTGAATGTAGACACTGGTGATTAATTTTACTGTTGGCCTGAGAACCATTTATTGCATAAATATAAAATATTATCAAGGGATAATGATTTGAATGTGAAGATGCCAATGTCCTGTATTTCTTCTAATCAAACTAATCAAACAATTTGAATTCCTAAATTCTTAAAATCTGATTCTCAAGTATAATTTTCCTTGCCATGAATTGTTGACGTTATTTAGTTTTCTTGAAAATAGCTTCTTAAGAGTAATGTGATTCAAAAAGTTAATGCATTAATCTAGTAATAAATCTTGAAGAAGGCTAAAACTAAATGGCTTGTATTTAATTTACACGCTTTCTGAAAGATATTTACAATCTAACATTCAAGTAAAGGAAGATAATCTGAAACTGAATGCATACCTTCATGTTATCTGAAATTTATCCATAACAATGGATATTTGTTTCCTTAATGTTACTTACCATTTGTCTCAAAAAGTGATCGTGCTTTAATACGTCCGTGGTTCATCAAATAGTTTCCAATTTGGCAAATTTAACCACCTAACTTAATTTTAGGTTGTATTTAAATTCCGGACCTCTTTCTGAATTTGACTGTAGGCAAAGTTGCTTCTAAATATCAGACTCAAGCCTTTCAATACTGAGGAACAGTACTGTCCTTAAAACATGAACAATTTCAGTTTCAGAGCCAAAGGTTTTTGTGGTCTTTTTTTGCTTTCCTTGGCAGAGTGAAGACTTAAATATTCTTTTTCCTATATTCCACTTTTCACGCAAATTGATCTTCTCACAAATGTTTTATTCTGATTAGTTATGGCTTCCTTATTACTGTGATGTGAGAATTTTTAGGGAGAGTTCCATTCCCGTTTTGATCAACTGTGACACTGACCTACATAGGGCAGGGAGGATCTGTTACAAAGCTAGATAACATTCCATTCAAGTTTCAACAGGCAATAAAGCTAACTCCTGCTGGCTTTTAATTTTTGCAGTCTACTAACTTCAGTGATAACAACACTACAGTTCCCCCAGAGTGGCATCACTCACCCCCTCCTCTCAACCAAACATAGGCTTCCTTCTTCAGTTGTGTTCACACCTCACTTTACCATGCTGTTCTTGGCAAACAGTCAGACTTGCACAGTGAATAATCTTGGCTTTTTTCCCCTTCCTGTAAGACTTATGACTCTTCTCTGCTGTTACATCTTGACATAAAACACTGCTTCGCCATTCAAGTCTGCCTGCCCTGCCCAGTGAGAGATGTCTCTGATTTTCAGCAACACTCATCCTCTCCACCTGTCACTTGTTTGGCAATTCACCCCAAATTTCAGGGTTTAAAGCCCTGAAGTCATAGCTCCACACCCAGCTGAAAATCACCAGAGCAAGCCAGTTTGAGCAGCTGGCAACAGGAAAAGCTATATATGGTGTGTACTGACATGTACATCACCCAGAGCTTTTCATTTATAGTCCTGCTTCCTGTAAGAATAGTAAGTACAGTTTTGGCCATTAGATTGGCAGTAGAGGTAATGGCACCTACTAAAATTGGTATTTAAATGTTCTGCTGGCTATTGGTAACTCCAAGAGCTGCCATTATGAAATACCTTAACAGTACTTTTTAGTCTCACTAGGAGTTCTTCTGTGGCACACATACCAAAAGGAGATACATGTGACATAATCCTGTGTCTCCTTCCCTGAGACAACTTAGAGGCAAATAGTGAAGTGGGGAAGAAGGGAGGGAAAAATGCACATTCAAGTCATATGGAAACATTTTGAGATATCTCAGGATATTCCAGGCAAGTAATTGAGGGTGTGTACAAGCTCAAGACAAAGCTTGAAAATTACAAAGTACAACCAACACTTTGTGATCAGGTACCACACCCAGGAGCACAAACAGAATCTGTATAGATTATAGCGCGAGTATGTATGTGCTTTGCTACTGAATATACAGTATTAAAGAACTTTGATTTCTGTCTGGATCATTCACCTTCATCTTCATTCATCTAAAGGTTAGTTGAAGCTGCTGTTTTTGTTTTTTGTTTTTTTTTTCTTCTCTTAATCTAGATTCAAGCAATACCATGTATTGTCATTTTATCTTTTCAGATGTTTGCATTAGGTAATTTCTAGCCTATCTAACAGCAGTTGATACTCCGGGATAAATTCTCTGGAAGTCTGTAAGGTGGCCGATCTTCTGTGAGCACATTCCCTAACATTACGACCCTAGAGAGAAACTTTTCCTTAATGAACAGTTTTAAGCTAATCCATGTGAGTTTCCATTTCATCCACTTATTTTACAGTTTACTAACTTGTTTCCTTAAAAATTGTCAATATAAATTCATAATTCAATTTTTTAAGTATGTGTGCCATGTTCTAAAAGTGGACAGAAGAATACACTTGACTCACATAAAGTATTCCCTGTATCAAAGCTTTTTTTCTATCCTGGAAGAAACAGCTAGCTGCAATGGAATGTAATGTTCTTTTTTGGATCTAAGCATTCTTCAAATACTTGGTTCTAGAGAATGCTCCTTCTTCCTCCCACAAGGAGAATGTAAATATGTTTCCTCTTGTATGTTACTTATGTGTTCAAGTAAGCACTGCTTCACCAGTCCAAGCAACACAAAAGTCAGCTTTTTGTAATTTTGTAAAACTTTCACACTTAGCAGCAAGTTGTTCCCCACAAAGCTGCTGCAATAACACTTCCATTTTTATCTTTTGTGATAATCACACCAGGAAAGTAGCTCCTATGCTACCTAAGCTGTGGTTTTAGAGCTACTTGAAATTCCACCCACTTATTTAATACATGAAAGAGAGGCTTATATAGTGATATTAACACATTAGGAAGAAGCATCACTGGGACAACTTGTTTATTCAACTAACAAAACTGCTTAATTAAAAACAAAACCAAAAAACAAACACACACACACACAAAAAGCACAAATGTTACCTATTTCCGTTAAAGGTAAACTCAAGTGTATCATTGACTGCTAGAATATACACCAAAAAGAGGTAAACAAATGGCTTTCTGATACCAAAAAGGATACATCTAATTCACTCTGAAAGAAAGAGAGATAAACATGAATCACGGTCTGATTTTCATCTCATAGTCACCGAATGTTACATATCCCTTCAGATGATAAAGTCTTCAAAATAGAGATTAAAAAAATTAGGCTGATTAATATTCTTCTATGGACTGCACAGTTCTGTGCTCTTTACTGCACTGCTCCTTTGCATTTGATGTATTACCTACCTCTAACAAAAGCTAAGCTTCTGAAAATTTTACTTAAGAAAAAACCAACCCATTAAAGTCACAAGTGAAAATGAGAATAGATGCAGTGCTGTCGCAGAGAATAGGCAGAAAAACAGCACCTCTGCTTATGGCATCTTCAGCCCTATAATCTTTCTTCCTCTGCAAAAACAAGATGGCAATGCAAAGTTTATAATTTTTATAAAAACATGAGTGTATGCCCATGGTGGTGGCAGCTGTGCAGCACACATTAGGACAGACAGAACTCTATGCACTGGACCTCTACCACGTACAGCTATTGCTTCAGCCCAACCAACTTCATTTAAGTGAAGTGTCTGAGCTAGCAGCCCTTGTGGTCTCTCTACACTCAGCACATGAGATGGGTATCTTCAGCAGTTGTCTCAGCAAACTTGAGACATGACTCACTTTCTAGAGATACTTGTTTGTCCCTGTAATGGGAGCATAGGATGACCAGACATCTAACTTGGGTGCTTCAGCTAAATGTTTAAATTTAGAAACAATTAGTCACAGCCTCAGATCCCACACACTTAGAGTTGAACTTCCCCAGTCTCTGATGAAATAAAAATGTTCCCACAGAATATTTTTATCTGCTACTAAGGGAATTTACTATATTTGTTGGTATGGATTCCACCATTCATAGACTAGCCCTGGAATTTTAGTTAGTTTTCACTGATAGAAGTACAACTTCTTCTGTGGTCCAAGGATGCTCTAAATCAGACTGGTCTGCAGTGAGTAACCATGCCATCCTTTGGTTAGAGATTTTTATTCATCACAAAACTCTATTTTAAGAAGTCTAATCAGTTTGAACTTAGTATTAAAAAGCAGTTGAAAACATTGGAGTGTGTATTCTAAACAGTATGCATCATTCTTCCTGAGCAGCTATAATGGATGTGAAGATGATTCAGAATTACATATCATAGCACTCACAGTTCGTTCTGTTAATATTTGTGCTTATATTTTAATTCAAGCTCTGTAAACTGCATCAGACAAAAACAAAGTGTGAAAATATTTAATACTCACAAACCTAAAAATTAATAGATGAAGTGTCATTCTAGAGAACAGATGCTATTTCCTTTTCCAGAGTTTTGTTTCTATTGTTGTCATAATTTGGTCCTCTAAAATCATGCAAATCCTAAACATTAATCCATAACTGTACAAACTCAAAATATTTTTTGCTCTGTGGTTACTGACAGAAACCCTAACTAGAATTATGGCCACCTTCTTCAGTGTTCTACCATGTTATATGCAGTTGAAAATAGAACACAAAGAATGGCATGGAAACTTTTTAAATGGTGAAGAGTTTAGGAGACTTTTTCAGTCATGCCATTGAATTCATACAGGAAGATCTGCCATGTCTACTTTGGATCTACTACATAAGCACCATAAACACTGTGTGATGCTCTCTTGTAATTACCAATGTAATACTCTCAGACTGATGGCCTACGGAGGAAATTGTATCCACCACACTTTAATAAAGCCAATCTAAAATTATGCTTAAATATTATTCAACTCAAATTTGTTTAAAATGAGATTATTACAAATTCTGTATTAAATAGTGCCAGAACTGTAATTAATAGCAGTTTAGGACTGTGTTCCTACTGAAGTCGTGATGAAGACAGTGTAAGCATTAAGTAGGGAGCTGTCGTTACTCTCACTGAACAAAATGAGAGGGATAGAGCAAATGAAATCTCAAGAGCCAGAATGTTCTTGTGCCATCATTCTACAGAGGCTATCTGGTACAACTGCTTTTGTAACGATGTAGGAACATAGTCCTAAACTGCTTTAAAAAAAAAAAAAAAAGAAAAGAAAAAAAAAAAAACACTTTTGGAATATAAAATGCCAGTGGCTATTTTGAGAGCAATGAGCTAAAGAAATCCCTGAGTATAAGCATATAAGAACATGCTTTTCTCTCAGAAACATTTCTGGTATTCCTTGTCTGATGATAAATAGACCATGCATGCTTTTACTTGTCTGAAAAATCAACTAATACTCTTAATAATTTTTTTCTCCTTTTTTTTTTTTTTTTTTTTTTTAAACAGTAGTAACATTATGCTGCTGTTTTCACAGTGATATATGAATATTAAAAAAAAAATAAATTCTTCCCCTGAAAAGACATTCTCTAGAGCATTGAAGAAGAAATATATCACAGTAGATTCAAAGTCTCACTCACCACTCTGCTGAAGTATTTGTCCAGAACCTCCACAAAATTATGAATTAGTTCATATACTGCCATCTCATTCTGAAAGTAAGTTATAAACAAATTAATGTCTTCAGGTGTAAGCTTAAAATTAATTTTCAAGAACTGTAAATCACTGTGAACACTTCAGTTCAGACTCAGTCCTCAAGGCTTATTAAGCAACAGTACGTAGTAATTTTCAGTCAGATACTTTTTTTTTTTCCTTTTGTTTTAAAAATAAAATAGCATCTTTCTAGGTAATGTATGGATTTTCTTCCTTTGTCCAAGGAAGCTGAAAACAGGGAGCAGCTGGGAATTCACTACACAGGAGACAACTGAGCTGCCTGCAATGCTGATATTTGTTAACAAACCTCACCCCACAATTTTAAATTTATAGAATCACAGAATAGATTGGAAGGTTCTTTAAGATCATCCAGTTCCAACCCCCCTGCTATAGGCAGAGAGAGACTCCTCCTACTAGATTGGGTTGCTCAAAGACCCATCCAGCCTGGCTTTGAATGCTTTCAGGGAAGGGGCATCCACAACCTCCCTCCAGTGTTTCAGCACTGGTCACGGAAAAGAATTTCTTCCTAATATCTAGTCTAAATCTACTAGTTTAATCTTCCAGTTTAAAGCCATTTCCCCTTGTCTTGTTGCTACCTGCCCTTATAAAAAGTCCCTCCCCAGCTTTCCTGGAGGCCCCCTTCAGGTACCAGAAGGCCACTATAAGGACTCCTTGGAACCTTCTCTTCTATTTACAAGAAGTACATATTTTTTGTCATGTCTAATTGAAGCTCTCTAATATATACTGCAAATTCCATACTGGAAAAAAAGCTTGAGTTCTTGTCTTTGATTACTACAAGCTTATATTTAAAGACTGCATATAATTTCTTACCTCTGTCTCATTGATTCCAACGACTACGAAAAGGGCTGCATACTGTCGGTATACCAACTTAAAGTCCTTATACTCAATGAAAGAGCACTAGGCAAAAGCAGAACTTATCAAACTTAGTAGCTGCCAGTTAAGCTTGAAACATTATTAATCTTTCCTTCATATAAAGCATATAAAAACAAATGGTTTTCCCAGTGTCCAACAGGTAATTTTGATTTAATATAAGTTTAGGGGGGTAACTTTGAAATTAAACCTTTCATCTATTGACAGAAAACTTAGTATCGCTTCTTATATGGATAAACTGGAACATGTAGAACTGAAAGAATTTGTTCAGGTTTTAATGCAAGGGCAGTCACTGTTCCCTCTAAATTTTCAATAAGAAGCACTTACAAAAGAGGCAACTGAAGATCATTTTCATATTTACGAATGGTCAATCTTCTTATAAATACTAGGTGTACTAGATAGTCAAATACAAGGGAAAAATCCACTTGCAGTTCACCGCCAGTCAGGAGCCAGTAGATGGTGCTGTTACACACAGCTTTACAAATAACCTTTTCCTAAGATTTTGCTCAGTCCTTGAAATGGCAGCATGCTGTTAATTCTTCTGGTTTACTTTCTATTTTGACATGCTCTTGCAAGCAGGGTGGAGGAGGTTAATTTCTTCAGTTGCTGTTAATTCTGTGAATCTGCAGTTTATATGGGTTTTTCGTATGATTTTTTTTCTAGAATTAAATGTGTTAAGACCACTGTTCCAAGACACACAATTAATGAAAAATAAGCTGAATTCAGAACACAAATTAAAAAAAAAAAAAGCACTCACAGTCACATTTCTCACCAAATGGATCTTGAATTTTTTTTGCTAATTTTGGTACTTTTCTTAAAGAACCAACAGCTCAATTATGTGAGCCATGAAAATCTCAAGAGCAATCTAACAGAAATTCCAAAAGCTGAGTTTTCTCACTTTCATGCACAATGTTTAAAAACTTTGAAAATAAAAGAAAAAGAAAAAAGAAAGAAATGCCTAAAAATGATTTTTTTTTGCCCAAGATGGCTGAAAAATATGTTTAAAAAAAAACTCAAAAACCCTATGTTTTAGGTAGTATGTGATTTGGAATCTTCTCTAACAAGTTTTTTGTTTAAAATTGGAGCTGTCCATGCTATACCTCCACCCTTCTTGGCAAAGAAGACTAGGGTCTATCTATAGATCACTATTAGAGAAGCAGTAACAGGAAAAAATAAATTATTCCTGGACTTCTGAATTCCTTCAAGCAAAGGAAGTCTCTTCTATGACAGTGATACAGAAAACTCCAAAATCATTATAAGCTCCACAGAAACATTTATTCAGTACAGAATAACAGCTCATCTACATGAACACTATGAAGAAACATTTTTGTTCTTCGTGGGTACAAATGAAATAATGACCTACAAAGAAAACTGCCATGTTTCTGGAATTACTTATGTGCAATAAAACAACTAGGGAATTAAAAAACTTACTTGATCCTTTGAACGAGAGAGACAGTTTTTGATTACTTCAGCTTCCAACATTGTCCGCTTATGAATTTCTATATGCTCATAATACCTGGAGAGCCTAGTTTGACCTTGTTTGTTCACCATAAGAAAAAATTTTATCATTTTTTTTTGTTGAGTTCAGCAGTCAATTTGAATGTAGGAATCTATAGGATGTAGGAATTTATAAGATTATTTCTGTGAGGAGAGAGAAGGAAAAAAAAGATAAATCAGTAAGCATAGGAGTTATAAAAAACGTTCAAGAAAGACTGGCACTGAAAGGAAAGGAAGGAAAGGAAAGGTAGGCTCTGCAATTTACAAAAACTACACATGGGGCTTAGGAGAAATTTCTAAGGAGAAATCTGTTAGTGTTAATCACTTAAAATAGCTTAATCTCTAAATAAGTATTAATCCAATCCAACATTAATACAATGTTACTGAAGCACAGACACGGAGAATAAATACGCCAAATACAAAGTACAATGAAAAAGACTATCAAAAAGAACACAGAATTTGCTTACCATACAAAAACAGGCATTTTTGTCATATTATTGAAAGCAGGCAAAAAAAGGTAAGCTGCATATATATATATATATATATATATATATATATTTTTTTTTTTAATGAGGTTTTTTACTATTTTCTTCAATGCTACAAAATGGTTACTGTAACACTTTCTGTCTGACTCTCCTTGGATCAAGGATTTATTGGCCCTTGTGTTCTTGAAGCATACACATTGGCAAAACAGCAGCTACTGCAAAAGTTATTTCTTCATTCCAGTTTTAAAGACTTGCTTCTTGCCTGGTGCTTAGAAGTTATAATGCAAATACCCTTTCCTAACATCTCAGAAATCCTGAGAACAGAGAAGAGTACAATGCAGCTGTGTAAAAACCATGTATCTTGGAGAAAAGGGAAAAAATAGAAAATCTAAATTTTATATGGTAGAGATGGGAAAAGTCCCAACATATTGTGCTGACATCAATTATTGCTTACTTCTGATTAATACTATCCACCTAGTTATTTTCTGAAAGAAAAGCCATCTCTGTTAACATCGTTGCTATTTGAAGAAAATGATCACTTCATGCTGTGGTTTACTCCCTAAACAAAAAAGTTTAGATTTCTATATTAAATGCATCTACACGATAATGAGAATTTGTTTCTTAATGAAGTGAACAGTGATAACTTTATGTTATCTACAGTTTCAGAAGCATTGTCAGTAAGGAAAATGAAACCAGAGGAAACACTAAGATTGTAACTGTAAGAGCTAATTAAATAAATAAAACTTATTCTCAAATATGTATCACTTTTACCAAAAGTGATTAGAAGATGTTGTACAGGCATTTCTTATCCTTGGTTAGAAATTTTTTAAAATGGCATATGTTGAGAAAAAAGTCATACACCAAACCCACAAAAGTCAGTCAACAATAAAAGGAAAAAATCCTGCCACTGATACACAGGTTCATACAGACCTACTTCAGAAAAGCAGCCTGGGAGAAGCAATATTGCCTTAAAGAAATCTTCACCAAAAATATTTTGAAAAAAATTCTTTGACTGGATTTTTTCTATCAGACATACTGCCCTTGGAGAAAAAAATGGCTTTAATTGTGACTTACAGTTAGAGAAGATAACTTTAATCCTCTTCTTCCCTTTACTGTCCTCTACACACAGCTATTTACACAGGTAATATATTTGAAATGGAAGAGTAGATAAGAGAAAATACCAGAGGATGCATCAGCTATCAAGGAGAGCTCTTCCTTTGCACTACCATACATCTGCAAGAAAGCTTTTATCCCTCTTACTCTGAAAATTCCTTTTTTATCTGCTCTTGTGTAGGACACCTGCAGGGAACAAGAGTCCAGAATCAATACAGATGACAATAGAGTCTGCTTGCAACCCTGGCGGTCTGTTTTCTCACCTCCTAGACAGAGTGAAGACTCTTTATGTCAAGAAGAGAAGTGCCCTCTTGTTGGTTCCCTCAGACGGATGAGTCAGGGATGTCAGTAAGCGCTGCTGAAGTGCACACTGCTTGTCCAGGCTTTGCACTCTTCAGGGAGTGGAAACGATTCTCTGAGAAAGAACAAATGAGGCAACTGAGACACAAAAGGCCCAGATGGAAGTGTGTTAAGGAATCTTCACTGTCAGGTGGCATTTCAGGCTGACATTTACGATGAAATGAGAAGGCAACTCCTATATAATCTTCTCTGCATTTCGTGTATGGCTCTATTTTTTCCTATTTTGTATTGCTGCCTTAATTTACAGAGGAGCAGTAAGAAGAGATGCCTTAATACTCAAAGGAATAAAAAAAAGAAAAGTATGCCAGTGAGATGAATCAGCCCTGTCCTTGAAGAGAGCTGGTGTATTCTAAGTTACCACTAAGGAATATCTAACAGAAAAAAAACAACCTTATGAATTGATGTACATGTATCCTATTGCAGGATTGCCCCTAATCCTAATTATTCTTTTGTTAACCTAATCTTCCTACGTGTTTAATCCCTTTCTGGTATTATGACTAATGTATCTGCTTATTCTTTCATAAGGCCTGTACTATTTTACCTGCAAAAAATACTTCAGACTCAAATTATTATTTTTTTAAATCCTTACAAATGCTCTTACCCAGATTCGTTATAGAAATATGAATGAATTATGCTGTAACAGAGACAGAGCCACGGTAGTAGTCAAATGTGTCACCTGTCATAAAAGACAGACATCATTCACAGTATTAGAGTAGGTGATTAACATCTGCAGAGGAGAGACCTGCAGTATCACCTGTTATTTCTCTAAGTATTTTATTGCCAGCCTCAAGCACAGCTTCTAACATTTTTTTCTCACACAAACGGCAGTAAAAGCACACAGTCTTCTGCAGAAATCCTGGAATACATTTCCTATCTGATTTACATGTCAAATTACATATATATATATTGTGTAACAGTATGCACAGTTGTGCATGTTGATGAGTGGAGAATGTTCCATTGTTCCATCAAGTTCCATGTATTTCAGGAACTAGATTTTATGTCCAACAAGCACTACTTACAAAGACAGTTCTGTTTCTTCCAATGCAACTCCTACATGCTTTTCTGTGCATTCTCATGTGCGTGCCTGCATGTGTGAGTGCATATATGCTCAAATCCAATATGAATTACTATGCCTTTCTGCTTACAGAATTGAGTGCTTCAAGAGAATTGGTGACAAGATGTGAGCCATTATTTTGCTCATTTTAGTTATGAAAAGATGTTGCTATCTGAAGGCTGTTTGTCAGGAATGAATAGGCAGCCTCATTCCAGGTCAGTGGACAACTATCTGCATCACAAATGGGCTCAAGAATAGAAGACTGGAGGGGACTACCCAGATCCCCGATGGCCTGTCAAGCCCAGCTCTCCCTGTCAGGGTTAGCCGTGCATTTGAAATTGTGTCCAGAATAGCCTACAGTATCTGCTTCTGTATCTACGAGTACCTGTGATGCACTGTAACATCATGGAGACTCTGAGAAACAAACAAAATCCAAACCCACAAAAATACCATACAGAGAAGACATAAAACATCTTGAAATTGTGGTCTTTCCTTCCAAAGTACCGAAGTGTGAGCCACAGAGTGGCTTGTCTATTTCTTCCACAAGAGGTTTCTTCTGTATGGCTAATTTGGCATACACATAAACCACGCTCAGCGTAACTCCTGTGATACACATGCATTGTTATACACTGTATTAGATCTCACCCTCATTAAAGTATCTCTTGCAGATAAATATCTGTGAGAAAAAACTGGAATCATGATCGGTGCTTGTGACTTACTGCAGCAGACTGATGCAGTATGTAGTTGTTGATGACCTACACCATAACTTTAACTCATTCTACACCAATAGATAAGCTGAAGATTTAACAACCCCCAGCTCACAAAGTGAGATGATGCTGGATTTTTCTGCCACTAAGCAGGCTCATTTTTCTCACGTGTTTGTATACATAACTCCAGCTTTGTACTCAAACTCAAATCCACCCAGTTTGCTTCAAAACACCATAATGGAAGCTGTGAAAGATGTGCTTCCAGGATGCCAGCTCACTAAGCAGTGTAACCTTGTGAGGCACCGTAGTGCAGACTGTCCCTGTTGATGAGTCACACCCCTCTACCTGTCTTTTCAGATACTTGCTGAGACCTCTTAGAGAGGCCAAGCCTGCAATACCTGTTCTGTGGATAAAAGGAGGTCTTACATCTCTGGTGTGGCCAGACCAGCAGATCTCATATGCAGTAATAGAAAACACATTTTAAACAATTTTAATTACATCTCCAGTAGCTTATTTTGACCAAGATTTCACCAATATCTGTACATACATACTCTGACACATAGATTATAAAAAAGAAACAGAACCCCAGTTTGAGACCTCAGGCAACAGAGTTCTCATTCAGATTAGATTTCCATCAAATTATAACCTCTCTAGTCAACATTCACAGATGTAGAAGTTATTGTGCTACATCGAAGTTCTCCAACACTTTAGAACTCTGACTTAAAGCATATTTAAGAGATCAAATCTAGCAAGCAAGAAACACGTGGTTATATTTTTATATATTTGTTTTGACAAGAATTAAACAGAACTGCAAGTCAATAATTCACTGCACTAACTCTGTTAATGAGTTGATTTTCTGGACACAGGTTTTAATTGCGTTTTGCCTGTACTAAATGTAGAACAAAATAGGTTAATCTGGAATTAAAAATAGCCAAGTGATAGAAGTGCAAGCAGGGGGGACAGCAGGTGGGCAAACATTTCTGAGGTACACATTGGTCTGCTCAACTTCCCAGCTACAAATTCATTGTGAAAAGCCATGCAGCAAATGAAGACAGTTCATACAATTGATATCTATGTTCTAATTTTGTTCTGACGGGGGACAAGGTTTTAACAAAAGTCATATCAATAAGAGTAACCATTTTTGTATTCTGGGTCTTAGTGTTCAAATTATTATCCACCTAGAAATGAAACAACTTTGTCAACGTGGCTTTGAAATAAATCACCATATTTAACTTCAAGATCAGGAATTTTAAGAAAAGCAACCTCACTGGTCTAGGGAAGCCAAGGAGGAAGGAAGCTGTAAAAAAGTTTTCCTTTGCAATGTGGTTGTCAGAATGCTTTCTGAATATAGTACTGAAGCTAAACTGCAGCAACTCCAAGGTATTCAGCAATGAGGAACATCTCAAGGGCTGGAATAAAACAAAGGGCTAAGCTGGCTGTGAGGTATGGTGCAGTTTTTGGTAATGATTTGATACTGTCAGGGGACAATGAAAAGATCTGCTGAGGTGGAAGAGTTGGATTTAGACAGGCTGATCAGTGTGGAAAAGGGAGGACTGAGGAAATGATGGTAGGAAATGACTTAATGGAGAAAAGTCGGATAGGAACTGGTAAAACAACTGAAACAGCAACGTGCACCTGAGGAGAGGTCAGCAGAGAGGAAACGCCAGCACTGGGACAAGCGGGATTTATTTTCCAGCACTTGAGACAATTACAGCACTGTCAAGAATGAGCCCGTTAAGGACACTGTCCATGTCCCTGCCCATATATACAGCACACACGTATTTATAGGGAAGCAAAACCAAATCCCCCTGTTACGCGAGAAGAGGCGGCCTACAGATCCAACAGGATGTGGTGGTCACTCGGAAGCGCTGCACTTCGGAGCTGTGCAGTGCAGCAGAGGAGGTGGCACTACATACATGCGCTGCCACCAGCCCGTGTTCAGCTGCCGTCGAACACCGAGCCCGCAGCTGCTAACGACGCGCCTGTCATTCGCGAAAGCACCCTCGTGCGGTTACTGCTCAGCTGGCTCTTCCCATCACGGAGGAAAAACATTACACAAACCCCTCAAACACTACACCACGAAGACGACCTTCGTTACAGTACAGTTAAGATGGGGCACCACCAGAATACGCTTAGCCAACCTATTCTAGAAACACCTACTTGTGAAGCAAACCGAACGCCTCCGGGAGCCCTGAGCACTGCCCCGCGAGGCGCAACCGGAGAGGCTTCACAAACCCCCCCAGCAAGCGCCCGCCGCCTCGCCTCGCCACGCGCCCGCACCGACGGCGACGGCGGGAAGGACGCGCTCCCCCGCCCCCGGGTACGGCGCTCACCTCCCACAGGCGCACGCGCGCTCCGTCGCCTCGACGGGCCGGGAGGAAGAAGCGGAGAGGAGAGGGGAGCGACTTCCCGGCAGGCCTCGCGCGCCGCGCCGCTCCCCCTTCCCCTCCCCGCCCGGCGCGGGTGGGTGGGCCGACGGCCGGGAGGCTGTAATGGCGGCTGGCGGCGGCTCGGCGCTGTTCTGACACCCGGATACCGCTCGGCGCGGCCCCCCGTCTCCCCGTACTCGGCCCGCCTCCTCCCACCCGTCCTAGCCGGCGCCACTCGCCCCCTCCCCGGCCCCTGTTCCAGGCTCCCGCCGCGGGACGAGAAGGAGGGCTCCCCGCAGACAATGGACGAGCACCCTGGAGCCGGAGGAGGTGGCGGGATGGCGGCCGCGCCGAGGCCGCAGCAGCCCCCGCCGCAGAGCGGAGGCAACGTGAACCTGCAGCCGGGCGGGGGCTGCGCGGGGGCCGGAGCCGGCGGCGGAGGGCAGCAGCAGCCGCAGGGCCCCGCGGCCCCGGGCGGGCAGGAGGCGGCGGGCCCTGCCGAGCTGTCCCGGCCGCAGCACTACACCATCCCGGGGATCCTGCACTACATCCAGCACGAGTGGGCTCGCTTCGAGATGGAGCGGGCGCACTGGGAAGTGGAACGGGCCGAGCTGCAGGTACGGGCCGGGGCGGGCTCCGCGCGGGGCAGGAATCGGCTCGGGGCGCTCAGGGCCGCGCGCGGGCGGCGGGAGCGGGGCTGCCCGGGAGAGCGGGGCCGGCAGCTCTCTGAGGCCGGACCGGTCGCCGGGGACGGGGGCGGTACCTGAGCGAGGTCCGGCGAGCGAAGCGACGTCGTCGGGCGACGGGGCTGGCAGAGGCGCAGCCCCTCACGGCCTGAGCTGGGCTCCCTTCCCTGGGGCAGCCATTTTGGTTTTTAGCATGGCGCCCGCCTGGGCTGCTGGCTCCGGAGCCAACCCAGCTCCGCGGGCCTCGGGGGCCGCGTTTGCGTCGCGGGCGCCGCGGAACGCCGGAGGAGGGCGGGCGGCCGCTGACCGCGCTGTCCGGTTGCGCGAGGTAGGGCCTGGAGCGCCCTGATGGCTGCCGTGCCCTCCCCGAGCACGATGACTCGGGGAGCCGGGCCCTGCTCAGCCCTGGGTGCTGCTTTGGGAAAGCCGCGGCCCGCGGGCATGGAAGGCTGCTGCTTCCTCGGAGCTGAGCGAGCGGCCCCTTCGGGGTATCGGGGAGTTGGCAGTGCCGGCCGAGGTGGGAGAAAGCTAAGCGGGGTCGGGAAAACCTTCAAGCGACAGACTTGACCGGGTGTTCACGTTGGACACGGGTCCAACACATGCTCTCTTTCCTTCTTCGTTTCTTGGGAGACCTCGCGTGGGAGAAGCAACTGCTGAAGAATAGTGAGGAGCTGATGGGTCTGCAGTGTACTTGTCCTGCAAGTGCAAACTTTGTGTCGAGAGCAAAAATTGAACAACTCTAGAGGGCAGGGAGCAAGTGTTTGAGTTCCAGTATAGATCTCTCACCATAAATGCTTGCTTTTCATAATGGAAAAGATCTATCATAATTATGTGTGCATGTAAAATAAAACCATGCATCACAAACTTATCTGAAAGATCTGAATGAAATCTGCTTAATCTGAGGCATTTGTGTATGAGTAGCGTGTACTTTTTTATCCTGTGAAAACAGTTTAATTATTCAAAAAGAGTATTTCTTGTTATGATTTAAGCATTGGGTGAATGCTTGCGGTCTTGAAGCAGCATTCCATCGAATTGCACTGTAACTACAGGTTGTGATAAGATGCTTTAGCAGCAGCCAGTGTTTGTGATATATATATATATACACACACCTTTAGACTGAAGAAGAGAGATCTCTACCTAAGCCTGGACGATTCAGGATTTCTCAACTCTTATACTAAACTTGTAAAGAAGTGTCTAATTTGCCGGGTTCTTGTTGTTGTTGTTACCGCTGTAATTAAGATAGAATAAAAGAAAACAAAGCAAAAGAAAATATCACACTCTTTCCTCCAAAAAAGAAAACAAAGATTTTGCTATTTATTTCGCTTACTGTGTGTTTTACTATTTTAAACCGTACAGAACAGCTGTTCCTAAGATCGGTGTGGTGAATATGGATAGGCATTTTCAGTAGAAAGCAATGGACTGGTTCTCATATTTTCTGTAGTGTCAAAGTAGTGTAGTACTGTATTCATAGGGTAAATAGATCACTTAGTGGTGTTCATTAGCAAGTAAGGCCATCTTGAAGTACTTGTTTTATGTATAGGCTTGTGACTTCACAGTGAAGTACCTCATTCTATAAATGTGAAGCTCAGTTCTGAGATGTTGAAAACTCTGTCTGGAAATTACTGGTTTGAACTCATGTGCCCTCTAGATACTGTGATGTGTTTCTGCCAAGTCTGCTGGCTTTTTTTTTTTTTTTTTTTTTTGTAACTGTCATTTGTCATCCACAGCCACAGTGTTTCATTTGCTTATTTCTTAATCTGCCATCCTAGTTCTGACCCTGGCTTTGTATGTGTTGCTTCACTCTGTGTGTGTGTGTATGTAGCTCATGGGAAGCAGGAGGCATGCTCACTGCCAAGTGTGTATGCATGAGGAGAATTTTTTTTTTTTTTGCTAACTTCAGAAGCCCAGGATAGAAATGCAGTTAGGAGTGAGGCAGGGAGAGTGTGTTCTCTTTGCACATTAGATATCAACCTTTATAGTGATTAAGTTCAATACAAAACTGTGTTGAGAATATTTTTGGAAGACGTGTATGATAACCAGTCCTATGGTTTTGTTTGTACGTGTGTGTGTATGTTTATAGCATATAATTACTTATTGGTCTTGCAACTCAAGTAATAAAGTCACAGTTTATTCTGTGACTAATAAAATCCTGACATCTTGAACCCCAAACAACTGTTTTGCCCTTTGAAGCCACTGTGATTGTTGTTCGTCTGTGAATGCAGCTTCCTGAGTTGAATAGGAAAAAAATTTGGTAGCATGACAGTAGCAATTAATATGGAAGCAAGAAGCATGAGAATTAAATTTCTTAGGTGCAGCTGTCACTCGTGCAGGTAGTTTCTTCCTTCTTTAGTAATTAAAGGTTCCTTCCTAAGTTAACTTGTTAACTTCACAAGTGATACTTTATGAAAAATATGTGGAAAACCAAATGACTTAGCAAAATTTTGTCATTTTATTTTCCTGTTCTGAACTGAAGATTTTTCCAATGAATGAGATTTTTCTCCAGAGTATGAAACTTAGGGGAACTATTGAGTGATTTTCCCACCTCTGTTTGTTTTCCCCTGCATGGTTTAGGTGAAAAGTAAGAGCCCTCTTTACAAATGGGGGCAAGGCAAATGGGCATACGGTCTCCCATAAGCTTTTGTTTGTTTTTCGTTCTTGGATCTTGTAGTGAACTTTTTGATCCCTTATAGTACTTGTGTATGGGACTTATCTTTAGAATTAATTTCAATTGCAAGTTGCTTCATCATCTTGAGGTTTATGCCACAGCTATAATAACTGAGCTTTGGTCCTTTGGATCTGAAGAAGTTCTGTACCAGCATACTAGTCCATGTGTGTGTCAGACTCTGAACCTCACATGTTATTAGTTTTTCACTGTTTTCTTAAATTGTTTAGGTATGTGGCTATTCTGCCTTTGTCAGTGATGAACACTAATTATTTCCAAATCTGTGTGCCAGTCAGCATCAAGTATAGAAAAGTCAAATACTTAGATTTTAGTATTTAAACTGTAGTGTACTTTTCCCTTCACTTACAATACTGACTGCCACAGTAACTTTATTAGTATTTCCTCACTGTTGCATAGGAAGGAAATATCTGGCCTCGCTTGGTATTTTGAGCTCTTGAATAGGCTGAATCTGTTCTGCAAACTAAAAAGAGGATGATTCTCAGTATAACAATATTGTGCAATCACAGCTGAAATTTCAATCTGTGAGTGTAATGACCTTCATGTTGGGTTGTTGTTATACTGAGATACATGCAGTTCATATTGTCTAATACGTTTGTCTAACATGCTTAGAGGAGTTAAAGCAAACCGTTGTGGTTGGGTGTTACCTCCTAAAGGAAACAAGTTTTGTATTGAATATGTAGGTGGCTTCATAGTTGCATTAAAAAAAAATAATCAAAAATTGTAGGGAAAGTACTTTGGAGTTGCAGTACAGAAACTTATGGGAAGTAACAATATTGTGCCAAGGAGGAGTTTCATAGGATCATCCTGCAACTTTTCAGGTACTCAGGAAAACCAGGCAATTTCCCTTTCTTTATAAGCTTGAAGGCTGAGACACTTAAATGGCATCCAGATCTTAGTTGTTAATTAGGTTAATTGGGCACTTTCTTCAAACTTCTGAACTAGAAGGTGGTAGTATCTGTGCTTTAAAATCATGCTAAGATACATTGAGGGAAACTTAGCAGTTGCTACTTCCAGTTGGTTTTTAACAGTGAGAATAAGAAACATTAATTCTCAGAATGTGTCCAATTTCAGTATGCTCAACATGCGTCCTTCTATTGTTCTAACTCGAGTGCTAAAAATTGATATGTTTGTTAGTGCATTTTCCGTAATATAAAGTGACAGCATCAGTGACATCTGGTTCCTAGTTCATCTAATTTTACAAGTGCTTTTTTTTTTTTTCCCAACTATTTATTGATATTACAGGAGCATTCTATTATTTAATGTTTTGTATTTTTAGCATATATTTAATGAAAAGGTTATCCTTGAATGTGGCTTTTTTTTTTTTTTTTTCTGGGGGGTAGAATTCAGATGATTAAAGGAATTTTATGATTAGGCCCTTTAGATATGATTGTAGACACGTAAGCATACGTAAATGTGTAAATATGGTGAACTAGATGAGAAAGTTTTCAGAGTATGTGCTGTGTTTGCATCTTTCAAAGCATTTACAAATCATAGCAGTGAGCAATTGCTGAAACACTAGTCTGCATTGAACCTGGTTTTGCTTTTGTTACTTACTTGAGCAATAGAATGGAAATGTTAGGAGTATTTTGTTCTTGAAGGGGTGGTTATTCAGATAGCATAGACATCACCTGCTTTTTGCAAGCGTGTTTCCTTAATGGTAAATTGGAAGTGAAATAAGGGATGAGGGTTGCAGAATGGTCATTATTTTCACGTTATGAAGAAAGAA